ATTTGCACAGCGCGAGGGGGCATTTTTTTATATCCCACACCCACAAAGCCTTTAAAGGGAGAAAAAAAAAAAAAAAAAAAGCCGATGACAAACAAAACACAAAACCCTGAGCAAGAAAGCAAGGCTTGAATAACAGTTGTTTTCTTAAAGAAAAGAACACACTGGAAACAAGGGATCAGTAGGATCAGGATGGGTATAATACTGTATACAAACAAAGTACTTGAAGTTCACACACAAAATCCTGTTCTTGGCTCTGCTACCAGGCAAGGCACGCTGGGGAAGGTCCCCATAGGTTCTCTGGCCCAAAGACTTGTCTCTGTAATCTGATAGTGAAGGAATTAGGAGGTGTCAAATGGAGCACTGCACAGGTCACTCCACTAAAGTGCTGTATGGTGAGCAATGCTCCCAGCCTGGTAAAACACGCAGCAGAGCAGCTTTCTTTCACTCATGGCTTGATTGCTGCTCTTCGCTCTAGAAATGGGTGAGTTGTGTTTGCTTAATTGCTTGGACATACGCATGCTCCCACATCCTGTGTGACAATGAGCATTATAGGACTGGACCAAGATACCAGTTACACCAAGTCTGGAAATGCGGCGGGGAGGAAAGGATTAACAAGCACAATGTAGACAGCTCACCCTTCTGCTCCTGGAGTCACCTGCTTCTCTCCTGCCAATTCAGGAGCATCATCCTCTTCTGAAGACCCAGCGCTGGAGGATTCCTCATCACTGTCTGCAAGACAATATGCCCTTGGCCTGAAACTGAAACAATGCAATTTCCAGGTCAAATGTAATATTCCTACATAGGTATTCATCATGTACAGCTTTGGCTGACGTTACATGTATTTCTATTGGAGACTCTGAAATGTCCCCTCTTTTTTATAAACTCTATCTAAAAGAACAAAACCAAAACCACTCTGAAGCCAGTCTGTCAGAACTAGCTTCAACACGGAAAATTTATTTTCTCCAGTGGAATGTAATCCTGCATAAAAGAGGATGGCAGGGGACTGGCCATTCTACGTATTCAAATCAAATGTGGAGATTATCTGAAATATATTTGAAAGCATCTCTGTTGCTGCTTGTGGATTTCCATGGAAGTTGAGCAGCATGTAGACTGGACAGGGGTTTTTTTTGTTTGTTTTTAAAACTCTGGCAAAGACAGGCTTTTAAACTGAAAGGTGAGAACATGCAATTCTGTCTTGTACTAAAAGCAGACATAGGACTCCAACTTAAAATGACGTCTTCTATCAACTGAATCCCAGAATCCCTCGGAGATGTTAACTGAGGTGCTAACATATACACCTTACCTTCACAACGTCTATACCTTATCTTCACAGCACTTTTAACCCAAGTCAATAAATTCCATTTTGTCTACTCACACACACATGCAATTTTTGCAGTGTAGACGTATCTCCAGCAATGGTAACGGGGCAAAGCACAAGAGAATCAGATCTTTGTCGTCTGCCTCCGAAAGGAAATGCACAACGCTCACGCTGGCAGAGCAAAGTTGTCTCAACCTAGCGATTCACCTTACTGTAGCTACAGTGTGTGTCATCACTTACCAATTTCGTGCAGAAAAAAGGCAATTTTATTAACAGAAGTAGTCTAACATAACCCTGGGTAGTAATATTTCTTAGATGTTTTGCAGAGATACTTTTGTCCCATACAAATTTAGGCATTCCCTACTACATTTGTAGTGAAATTGACCTTTGGGCTTGTGAATTTTTAAGCTTCTCTAACACAGTGAATGATGTTTACAGGATTTAAGGCTTCGTTTTGTTTTTTCTGAAGAGAGTCCAAGATGGAATAAGGCAAAGAATGTCATGGGGAGAAGAGAGGAAAAAAGTAAAGTAATAAAATCAAACAAGTGCTGCTCTTAGGGTACAAAATATCACACAGTAGTAACTAATTCCTAGGCTTCAACTATGGAAGAATTTATGTACACCATCACAGAAAAAATTTCAAATCTTTTAAATGGATTTAAATTAGGGAAGGATACAGTGAATACACTTCAGCATTAACAGATCTCTACCAAATGCAAGAGCTTGCAATAGTTACGCAACACAAGCTTCAAAAGCACATGGTTTTAGCCCTACGGACTATACTCAGGATTATAATATTCTACAGCTTGTTCAGAATACAGTTTATAGCTGCGTTTTCTTACTTGTGTGTGTGTGTATTCTTGGAAATTTATTTGAAGCATTTAATAACCTCACACAGGGTATGGACTGAGGCTACTGTCTGCTATTCTGTACATAGAACAAACTGTTAGTTGCTGCATGAAGTCCTAATGTAAAAGGACAGTTCAAGTACAGCTCACAGTGCACAACACTCCTTCCTAACCGCCTGTTTAAGAACTGGAGCAGTACTCCCCTGACCTCTCTACACTGAAGAATTTGCTACCCAGGCTATGGAATCAGAATGGTAAACCTCTTCTTCTTACCCAGAAATGCATTTTGTACCCCCAGAAGAGTGAAAGAGCACACCAAACTGAATGCCCTCTCTGAGGACTTAGCGGGCGATGGATGGTTCACGTCACTGGCCCAAATAGCAATGCTGGAGCTGTTTCTCAGTGAGAAGCTCACGTTTTTAGGTCAGATTCAACCTACAAATTTTCTACTTGGGTGTGACCTCACTGCACTTTCCTGTGCGTGTCATACCACCCAATTCAAAGCATGCCCAGTGTCTTTTCAAGGCTTTCAAAGGTGTCACCTTCTTACAAGGTGTTTTATTTGCCTAGGTAATAGGGCCCTCTGAAGTGCCTCCACAAGCACGCACCAACTGGCTAAGACCACAAGATCTCCTCGCATTAAACAAAACAACAATAAATAAGCTTGAGTGAGATTTCAAGGGATCTCTGCATACAATGGACCATTTATATGACACAAACATTGGCAGAAAAACACTTTGGAGCTACAGTATTGTTCCTGAGCAGACTGCACACTGTTTTATGAATTGCCATTTGTCGGTTTGTTTTTACATGGTACAACACAGCAAAAAGGATTGATGGGGTAAGAAACTGCGGTAACTTTGGGTTAGCCTGCCTGCCTTTGCCTAATCTCCAGTACAGTAGAACCTGCTACTGTAATAATTTTATAAAATCAGTAATTAAATAGTTTTCCACCCTTTTTGAGAGCTGCATTCTCCTGAGAGTGCATGCAAGACAGCATTATCAAACCGTGTAACAGCACACTTCTATTTCAAACGCTAACACAGCAGTGGCGATAGAATGGATGGCAACACTGAACCATTTGTCTCGCTTTACACTGACAATATCCAAGGACAGTTAAAACTCAGTGCTGTTTCCCCCACCCTCCTCTTTCTGGATGAGGAGATGCCTTTCTCACATGAGTTTGTGGTTACTGCATCTCAAGTGGTCGTTTGTCCTATGCTCTTGAGGAGCAGAAATGAGCGTAAGCAACCAACATGCATCACTTACAGACAATATGATTGTGGATGCAAGCGCATGCAGAATAGTTGATTTGTCACAGCAATTGTCAACCGATAATTAAAAAAGCCAGTAAAATTAACTAACACAATAGAAAGCACAGATAAGAATCAAACTGTTCTATACTTCTCAGAGTCTTTAATTTGTTTGTTTGTATATAATATCCATTGCATTTAAGGAAAAAAAAAACCCCACCAAGCAACCAAAAAAACCCCCATTCAAACTAGAATACATTAGACTGCTCTTTGTGTAAAGCTGGCATGGTACCTGGCCCTGAGCATCTGAAAGATCACAGCCATGTGCAGGGAGCAATACAGCTAATGGTTATACCTTCAAGTAATTGGTTGCTTAGCTACAGACATTTACATTTGTGTTGCTGGGGGCCTATTGCTCAGCTAGAATCAAGCTGATTTTTAAATATGAAATCAATGCATTCACTAATTATTTCTGAGGCTGTTCTTGCACTGGACAGATAAAAATACACAAAGAAAATCCTGAAAGGATGGGGAAGAAAAGGAAGAATTTGATTTGTACAGACATTTCCTTCTCTAACCCCCATTTTTTGGGTGGACAAGATTAAAGGGATTTTTCAAAAATCACACCTACCAATTACACTGATGTAAATTCAGAAGTATTTATTTCAAGCAGTGATAACAAGAATCTAGGTCGATTTTAAATCCTCTGAATTTCTACCAGTGTATGAGATCATTCAGCCATTAGTTTTTAAACATTTATTTTCTTGTCATGACTGCACTGTAATATAGTGCTGCTATAAATATTACTTCACGATATCTCAGAATAAATCGTCAGAGCTATGACATGAGTATACAAAGCATATAGTATCTTAATTCTGAAAGACCACAACATTTTATTCCTATCTAAGCAAATGGCCAGATTTAGAAAATATTTTCTTGATTTGTTGGCACTGGTTGTACACTAAATCAGAGACCACCTACTGCTCAGGGACTGCAGATTTCTGAAGTACAAAGAGAATACAGCACAAAGAGAACCAACACTCCACAGCTGACAGAATGGCTATTTGACAGGTGTCACTCACCAGGTTAATACAAATGGACAGATTGATGAAATTCAAACAACATCATAAAAATGAGAGGGAAAGCACAAATACTTTTTACTATTTATTCGGTAAGTGTACATGTGATTTCTAATTAGTTCATCTATAAGGCATTTCACTTAGACATGGCGGGTAAATAGAAGTGGGATATGAGGAGAACTGGAGACTAAAGTAGAGGTGTGATTATTCCCATGATGCAATAAAGCTATTGAAAAAGTCTTTACATAACAGTTACAGCCTATTTACCTTCCACAGTTGTTTGTTTACTATTACACACCATGCTGTGGTAGCATGTTATGTGTATCGATCTCCATATCTGCATGTATCTCCAATATTCAAGTCTTACTGGCCAAGACTCCAAACCAAGCATAAGACAAAACTAAATTTTAGTCACAGAACATTTTAGAATCCTACTAATATATATATAAAATTGATTGTACTACAAAAGCCTTTTCTAAGACAATTATCAATGGTGTAATCAAACAGTAAAGTTGCACAGAAAGGCCAAGATATACACTTACGTGTATGCAAACCCCCAGCTCCTTTCAATCTATTGCAGAACCAGAGCTGCATATACGCAAAGAAAATTTCACTTTTTCACTATGAAAGCTCTCACTTGATTCTACTCTTTTTAATACCTTACCCTTCTTTGCCGATCTCTCCAACTTTAAGCGCTTCACCCAGCGGCTCTTTACCAAGTTTGGTCAAGTTCATCTTCGTCTCTAGGGTCATTAGAAAAGATCCATTGTAGGACATTTCCAAATCAATCCAAAGTCCTAAAATCAACAACAACAACAACAAAAAGATGTCACTTTAAGAACAGTCAAAATCACTTTATTTTAATGTCAAGCAAAAATTTGTTTTAAAAAAGTTTATACATCACACTTTTTCCAAAGAGAAAAATACTTTCGTCAACCAATGAGGTCATTAATTCACAAATAGTTAAAAGCTTATCAAAGCAAGCTTTCTGTTCACATTAAGGTTATGCAACAAAGTTGAACGTTCAGGTATGAATCAAAGGCATGCTGAAAGACAGATCAGTGAGTACAGCTAATGACCTAAAAAGAGGAGTGTGATTTACGCACACCTAAACTGCTTAAGAGATCTGAATCAAGATAAAGAAAATAGAATACAATCAGGGATTCACTTCAAAACTATTTATAGTACTGCTCCAAGCCAATCAGTAATGGGGACACTCCTCCATATTACTTACGCTGTCCAAATGAAGCAAAACTTGAAATCCCAGAGCAATATTGCTTGTCACACATCACAACCTGCAGTCTCTTTTGCTTTTGACAATGGTGTATCAAAGAAGTATGAAAAGGTTCGCTCAGTAATTCAGCTATAGGCATTCTTCTTATAACTCACAGCAAACAGGGTCATCACTTAGAACAATTCCAGATGTGTAGTATGAAGTTAAATCTTATTGTCTGGGCAGACTATTCACTTATCGCAATCACCAAAAGAATTGCCTTGGGAATAACTGCAAGATTAGGGCCTGCCTCTTAAGTGACACCCTGCAGTCCCACCGATTAAAAAAAGCTGTAGGGTATTTGTAATCCAGAGATTAGAAATCAGATGCCACTAAGTATAGATTATGCTTCTTCCTTTTCCAGATACAGCAGCTGCACACAGTACGCCCTACTGGTATCTGGTACATCAACCACTAATGCATTCTACTTTTATTTACTTATTCGGAAGCAAGTAATGGTAACTACTTTTTGTGTTTGATTGATCTAGAAAAGACACACTTTATCAGTTAAAGAACAACTACTTACTTTTCTGCAAAAACACATCAGAAGAATGGCATTGTCCCCAATCCCACCCATTTATATTAACAAAAATACACACAGCTCCCAAAGACCAGGTCATTGATACACTATGAGATTACACGTTGGAAGCAATACTGAAGGCAAGCTGCTTCTTTACTAACCCAAATTCTTCTTCAAACACAAGCTTATGTAGATTTTTCCTCTTTACAGTAATGAAGTAGCAGTAAGATTATCAGAAACAAGAAAACAGCTAAACAGACCTTTTGGATAACCAATGAGTCAGCATGCTTCAAACATCAATGTTGTTCTAACAGTAGATCAAATTAAGCAAAGGATGCCATTACTGAGAGGGAAAATTCCTTCTGGCCAGAAAAGGTTCATACGCATTTTCCCAAGGGAAAAAGGAAGGTAGGGGAGGGAGAGGGGGTGAAGAATTGGGCAGATGGTACAATTTTTTCAGAGTTGTCTTGTTCCCTAGGCTTGACAGAAGTACAGTAAATACTACAGCATATGCTGTCACCCAAATAGGATTGTATTAACAGAAACAAGATTTTTTTTTTTTTGTCCTAACATTGTCTGTTAAGAAATTTAGTTACTTAGAGGAGCTTGCTTGTAATCAAGCACGGGTAAAAAAGTATGGATGAAACAAAGAACATCACAATTAGTAACTGCATTTTAAAGCCTCACAAAAGGCTACCTCAAATGATTGATTGTCTCAAACACTTTAAAAAAAAATTTCTTAAAAGTGTTCGTTCTGGACACTGGCCTGAAGTTTTAAGATTTTTTTTTTCCCCCCATGTATGGTTTACTCATAGGTCAACTTACCAACAAATACGTTTATCCTTATGACAACAACCATTTCTAATTTTCATCCCCTTATTTATTTATGTCCTTTTAAGTACAATAGCAAAACAAGTTATTTCAGAAATTATTCACTGCAAGTTCTTAAAAACTCTGATACTAAGAGTTCACATGTCATTCGGCAATATGAAAGAAGTTAGAAGGTTTACAAATTCTACCATAAATGTTTGCTTGTCACAGTTTAACTGAACAAGAAACTGAAGGAGTTAATTTTCTAAATGCTGTTGTCAGCAATTCATTGAAGCCAAGTGTTCAGCAGTCTCCTAAATCCCATCTCATGACTTAGAACTAGAGTCTTTGGTTACAACTGAAGTTATGAGAACAGAGAACGGAATTCAAAAAAATGTTTAAATCTAGGCAAAGGGAAACACTGACAAGAACCCCAAAGCGTCAGTTCATTTAAAAAGAAACCACGCAACAACCTAGCAAGCATCATACATGTAACGATTTTTAAAAGTTTTCACCTTGTTTTCTGTAACTCAAAATAAAATTTCTACCAATGGTGAAGCCACTTTGCTCTCGGGAACACTGGAGGATTTCATAAGTACTGTGGAGAACCCGCTGTCCCACATAGGGAAGCATTCGACAAGAAGCAGCAATGTTTTAGTTCCCCGAATACTGATTGCACGGGAGTTTATTCCATCTATTCAATTTTTATTTCTCTTAAAAGACAGTTTTTGTTCCTCATGACAACAAAACAATTTGCTCTTTTCAAACATGCTTTGTTTATAAAGCTCCAATGGAAAACATACTTTCAAGAAGTTGAGAGCAAAGTACTCAGTGTTTTATAGATAAGGCTTTTCCCCAAAGAGCTGCAAGCCTCAAGTGAGATAAGGGCAAACAATAGCAGTTGGATACAACAGGCAGCATTAGTTAACATGTTATGTATGTCCAAGAGAATTTTAATCATTCCCCAAAGTCTGTTTTGTTCACACTTTCACAAGGGAAAGGTTAGAGCTTACTAACCTTCTCACGCTTTTAGTCAGTGATTTGAGTGGCACAACATTTTTAATATTTGTGATAAAGTTCATTTATTTCCTCCTAAATTTCATGCATCTGGTATTCTTGCAAAGTTCTGATGATAACTATTCATGTGAGTTAGAGAAGAGCACTGTAGTAAGAGTGGCAGACAAATGAGTCTTACATCAAAACTATAGTTAAATAAACCTTAAAAAGCCCAGGTCCAAACTATATATGAGCAAAGATGAAGCCTAAATTGCTTCTAAGCAGAAACTGGCTCGTTATCTAATACTGTGCACAGCTGAATTCTATCACAAATTCTCCGTCCTGGGGAACCACTGTTGCTTGACCTTTAAGAACAGTGAGCAGAACTAAGATATCGAAGAGAAAAACCACTCCAGTGAATAGAAAACCCCCTCAAACCCACTGAGTTCAGCACTGCAATCTCCTCCAACCAGCACTGCAAGGAAGGACATGGCACTATATACCTGCTGTGTTCAATACCCTCATGCTCTGAGAAGATACTCCATAAACACGACAGTCTGTTCCTAAGAAACACTGTGCACAGGAGAGCTAGTGAAGATTGATCCTGTTACGATTTTCAGCTAGTTATCTGTTCAAACTTTGCTCTGTCCATGTTGTTATTGTTCTAAATATGCTACTGAGATTTGCTGAAGTTTGGCTCGTTGCTGGCCTGTAATTTAGAGCCTCTCCAGAGGCTCTTAACACTCTTAACAAGTATTGTAAATTCATTAAATTCCTACCATCTCACTACCAGTTTATTGGTTTTAGCAGCATCTAGAAATGATTTTGATATCTTCATCTAAGAGTTGAAAGAGCAGTTTAAAACAAAAATAAGTTGTTTGCTATGCAATCCATAGCTGCACCAGAACAGGTCCTCCAAGGAAATATTTCCCTTTAGACCAATTAGAAACTTCTCCACCTTGAGTTAGGTAATGCTCTTTCACTTCTCCAGCCCAGTGTAACAATATGGTAACTGAAGGAGTGAATGAAGTGGGAGGAGACAAGTTAAGAAGCCCTTAATAAACTCAGAAACAACCTAAAATTAAAAACTGCTCTGATTACATGTCTTAGAAGAAAGATGGCATCTACCTCTCCTCAGCATGTAGAACAAACACTTCTGAAGCTAAAAAAAAAAAAAACATTAACCCAAGTTTGTGTTTTTGTGAAACTACTTAAGTGACACGAGTATCCTCAAACATACTCGTGTGACCATATGCAAGCCAGAAAGAATAGAGAAGAAAAAAACCTAGTTCTGATTCATAAAGCAGCAGTATGAAAGTCCTTCAGCTTAAAAAAAAAAATCCATATTTAATATTAAGGGCATAAAATGATGCTGTGTTCTGAAGTCTCTTTTCAAAGCAACACTGTATTCTTGCTTCTGAGTCATTACAATTGTATTTTCTGAATCACTGTTTTCAGAAAGAAAAGAGAGCCAAATCTGTTTTCTGCTATGGTACAGAATCAGATCTGTCTTGAGAAGATGTGCAGTGCTCTCTGTAGTCCATAAAAGAGTATCAGATACAAGCCTGCATCTCTCTTGCATGCAAATTTTAGTTTAGTTCAGTAATTATTTCCGACGGAGAGACACGATCATATTTCCATATCTATAGAATTATGTTTATACCAAGCCTGATGCCACTACTATTGGAGATAGAGACCACTCAGTATCTCCTCAGAATAAGCTCTTATTAAGTGTACCTTCCTCTGATTAAAACACTCACAAGATAAACAGATCAAAATTCTGTTCTCCACAGGTACAAAGGCATGAACCTGGCAAAACCAGAAGAGGAAGCATGTATTTTACCTCTGTGATCAACAGAAGGTTTGAAGGCTTGAAGGATCTTCGGCACTGCTATCCCCATGTCAAGCTCGGTTAGAGTTAGCTCATTCATGAAGTATGGCAGCTAAAAGAATAGAATGTAAAAATCATATCCATGTTATGGAACTAAACATCATTGTTTGCTGACAGAAGAAAGGTCATTAAACTTAAGGAATGGATTGAGCTGAAAAGCCACCAGTGAAAGAACACAAATACGATTACAAAAATTTCTTTCAATTCTAGGATTTCGCAGTTATCAGTTTCAAAATAATATTTTAGAGAGAGATTCAGTATCTGAACTTGGAATGTTTTTAAAACTATGCTGAAGTTCAGATGCTGACCTTAAACCTCCAGCACACAGCTTTTAGTCAAACCATGTAAAAAGCTCAAGAATTAAGTGTAAATCCTATTTTACTCTGAATAAAAATCAAAGACTTCTTTGGATTTTAAATTCGGTCACATATTTTATAGTTGCAGTTGTATAAGTGTCTCAGCTATTACTATCTTTGCCAAATTCTTTCATAGCACGTTAGCTTTTAAATCTGTATCATAATTTTAGTATAATAGAGGCACAGAATCCAATGATTTGGGTATCTATTTACTGTAAGTATTTCTAATTGACAGGAATTCTCTCTCCTGTGAGCAGATAGTGCTTTAACCTATCAAAGATACATCCATCCCCCATTCCCAGTCTTTCCACTTAAACTGTTTCCAATGGGATGTTTGGGTACCCTGCTGTCACAATTGTGGAAACAGCCAGGGCAGAATTAGGTTACTGCTTATTTCCCAAAGCACAAGCAACGCTACCTCACAGCTGGTGCTGGCAGCTAGATTTCAGAGCTTTTGTCAGCAAGACTACGTCTTCCTTTGCCTTTAGGAACAGGCAAACTCCTCCCCAAACATCAGGAGCTAAAGAGCCCTGTGATTAACTGCTGCTGTTCAGAAATTACAGAACGCAAAGGGAAGACCCAAAAGTCATTCAAAAGCACCACTCCTCCCTTCACCCTTTGAGCTGATGCAGTTGATGTACAATTATTACTCCCACTGAGCTCTCCTGCAAGCAGTGTATGTCTGAAGCTAACAGGAGCACATCAGAATTGTGGTTCCCTGATGTCCTCCATCTTAAAGGCAATTTGCTATTTCCCAAAGCAGATTTCATAACTTACAAGCAGTTCTATTTATCCCTAAAGTAAATACAACAATACTTCTACTTCTAACATAAAAACTTCACAGACACAAATAGTTAATCCAGCTGTAGTTCATTTGAAACTGAAGCAGCAAAGTTAACATGCCAAGATCCTACTGTGAAATGGATAGCAAAGCTGAACTGGAACTCTGCATCAGATTTATTTACTTGTCTTTTACATACAAGTGTGAAATAAGCATTTCTTCTACTGTTTTAAAACTCAAAGACTCTCTGTTCATTTTCCTCCATAAGGAATGCGTAGTGCAAGTCTCCAGATTATTACCTTTATTTTGCTAAGTTTCATTTGGATTTTCTTTGACACTAGATCAGACCAATACTTTTCTCCTAAAAAATCCCAAAATATTCTTCCAAGCAAAGCATTCACCCAGGCCTCCTGTTCTTCTTCTTCAGCTTCCACATGGGCATCTGGTAACTGGAAACACAGAGCAGGTTATTCAGCTCTATAAATTCTATAAACTAAGGTCAGAAAAAACCTCATTTACACTGGAAGTTCAGTGTTATAGCCTGGGTTAGGTAAGAACTCTAATGTTCAGCACAGGTAGCAGCTTTACAACCACATCAGCTGGCCTGACATGAGCTTGCTTGTCATCAACCTGACATGCAACAGACTGAATGAGACCGCATGGATATAGATTCACCTCTGGCAATGAAATGAGAAAGTTGTATGTAACTTAACCTCTGGCAGAAAAAGCAGAGAAGCCCAGAGTGGGCAGACTTAGAAATGTGTCTGTAGTAGAGACACTCTCTCTTCCCAACAGGATCTAGAAGAACAGTTACCCTACTCTTCTTTTGTTTTATCAAAAAATAGGAAAACAAGACCCAATCTTACCTCCTTAAATCCAATTCAGAAACATCACAAACAGATGATAAACAAATGCAGTACAGGGAAACAAGTTCTTCCTTCCAGTGTTTGCATACAGGATTCAGGAAACCATATTGTTCCTTCTGCTGCATTAAAGGTTTTGTTTACAGTCTAAGAGGATTATGTCTTGGTCTCAAAACACATGGAGGTATATGTTCAAATGTTGCATCACTGACTATAGACATGAAAGCAAAGGCAGCTGAAATAATTTTGGGTGTGTACATGCTATCATGTATTTCATTAAAAGCAGGAGGTTTCCATGAAGGAGACACACCGTACTTAACAGCTCTCAACTGCCTGCAATAAAAGGAGAATTTGCTTTTCATTCTTACAGGCAGAAATCCTGAAGCCAGCAGAAAGGCAGTGCTTTCTAAGAGGAGTCAGGTAGATGCTACAGTTCTGAACATAATTTCTTGGCAATGACCACTGCAATTGGCTGCAGCCTCACGCGGGCAGACCTGCTGGGTTAGTAGCTTCTGCTGTGACGCAAGTTTCCTGCCAGCGCTGTTAATCTATTTATAGAGTGATTTCTGACACGTGCCAGATTCAGCAGCGAATTCATCACTGCTACAGGGCTTGTCGGGAGCTAGAATATCTATTTTCCTGGGGGAACACAAGATGTGTTTATTCGCATGCTATACCATGGCCTCCTACTCCTTTCTGGACATTGAATTACATCTTTTAAATGAATGGTGATCATACTTAACATTAAGGATCCATTTATTAAGAGTGTTGTACTTAATATTAAGGTTCTGTTTATTAAGAGTGAATCAAATGCAGTCCAAGAGGCCAAAGGATTAGTCGGAGCTATAGACATAGCTATTACACTGCTGTGTACTACACAATACTAACGCATCAGCCATCTAGTATTGCTTTAAAAAACATTTAAAATATGGAAACCATACAATCCATCCATCCATGCCTTATGTCTTTTTGAGCAAGGCTGTCCAAATCAAGCTGCAGTCTATACAAGAGCCAATTCCATTTCTGTCCCTCAATCAACCCAAGCAGCAGGTATACCGCAGTAAGAACTGTCCCAATGTCGTCAGAGCCACAGCCAGAGGACCATCAGATACACACCTAAGGCAAATTCCTAACCCTATTGATGGCCACAGGGCCAGGACATCATTCTTGGCAAGAACTGAGGAGGTTAAGCACTTTTTGAAACATGCAACAGAAACACAGTTCTCAGGTCCAGGACAAAAAGCACTGCTTCATGTGATCCAGAGTGCATGAGCGAAGCCAAATGTAGGGTTGAAAAACAGATTTTATAGTGTACTGTCTGCACTGAAAAACTGCTACGAACAGCATCCAACTTATACTTGTGTTATATGACAATTCTGTCCCATTCAGGTGCTCAGATGCACTCAGGAATGGTAGAAGGCCTTTAGCTCCCCACAATCAGCAGAGAATGAAGATCGATTTTACTACCAAGTACTAAAAATTCCACTTAAATTGTTTCAACAAGCCAGGACCTCAAAAAATACGCTTTTAGTTCAATCTACTTTAGAATATACACAGAAAAATTTAACTTTTTACTACTATTGGGAAGTGAGGTTTGTGGAATTTTGTTTGATTTGTTTGTTTGTTTTAATCTTAAGCATAAGACACAAGTTCTTTTGTGACCAATGGTTTTTAGGACACACCTGTGCATTCCTAAAGAAGAAAATCTACAGCCATATTGCCTTCAGCTGTATAATCTTTTAGGTACAAAACACTGCAAAAGCCAGAAAAAACACCGATGTTCTTGGGAGATAAGAAATCAAACTAAATCAATGAAAAACTTGTACGTTACATGAAGGAGAAACTGTGGTCAACAGGGAAATGGCAAGCATGAAAACCCACACTGACTTTATAAGAAGTTTAGGTCCACCCTGTAGTTAAAGAAATTAATTTTTCTTTCTACAGAACTGATTTTTAAAGTAGTAGTTAACAAGGTAAAATATATCACCACCTCTGATGCATCTTTTGGGGGAAAAGTATTACCTTTTTCACAGCTGTAGGGCTGCTATCTGCACTGAGGACTGGACTACCTGAAGGGCTTTTCTTTTCATGTGGAACACACTTTGCCATATAAATATTGTAGTCCAGAAGCATTTTCTGCCGCATGTGGCCAGCCAGATCCTTGTGCTTCGGCTGGGATGCAATTTCTTCTGCACTTCCCTTGCTGCTGCTTCGGCTGTGTGTGAGAACTCCAGATTGACTATCGGTTCTACTGTGTGTTGGCAAGATCCCTAAATTAAAAGGAATAATACCTGTTTAAGAGGAAAGGAACCTAACAGTCAAGTACTAGAGTGTATGATCAAACGCTTAAAGGAACAAAATGAGCTTGCAGATATAATTTATTCTGAAAAAAGGCCATTCAGAGTAGTGCTTTCTCATTTTGAAGGGTAAAAGTTAATTCCACTACTATGTCCTTAGATGGTCCTAAACCCAAAGTAGTCAATATTTGGTATGATTCAGCACTCATCAGGATGTGGGACTGGAAAATTCAGCTGATCAATAGCGTATTTAAATATGGACACTCACATATGTGTAACATATGGCAGAATTCCCAACAGCCCTGCTGGGGAATGCCTAAAATCAAGGTCAGGTGATTAAAATGTACCTATAACTAAACTTTTTTTTTTTTTTTATTTAATTATAGGCTGTTACAATTAAAAGGACTGTCAAAAGCATGTAACTAGTAGAATTTTAATTAGCCATTAATTTTGCATTTGCATTTCAAGAAGTTATGTGCCAGAAATAATGATGTTAACTGATTTTTAAAAAGCTTCTCAGAGACTAGATAAAGACAGAAAAGCATGAGTGATTTGGATTTAAAATTATATCAGAGGATGGTTTTAAATTAATATTTCAAACATTTGATCAATACTGTAAACTAACATGTTTGTTGGTTCAGAGAGATATATATCAGCACAGGACTTTTTATTTAAACACAAAAATGTGTTTGCTTGTGACATTAACCCATGAGAAAGCTATTTAGTCTTTACAGGAGACTGGAGTGGAAGGAAGGCTGGAGGAGGAAGAACGGGTAATAAGAGGACTAAGTCTAATACTGCAAATATTGACATCATCTCCAACAGTAGAGAAAGAAAAAAACCAGGATTAAAAAAATTCATCCTAACAAAAATTACAGGAGTTGTTACAGTCACTGAAAAACAGTGTATTCACATAAAACAGTCTAAAAATAGCAAGAATAGTTGAGGGCATATAGCCAAGTATATAGCCAAGAGAGGAAAAGGCAGGGTGGGAAGGCGGGAATGAAAGGCCAAGATAAGGAGCAGAAGAGTGTCTTTAGCATTATTTGTCTGTAAAGATCACTATGGCTCCACAGTTGCTATAACTACCACTGGGAAAACATAACTTTGGTTTGTTTCTTTTAATAGATGCTTTCACTAGAATACAAAATTTGCATACCTGGCTTGTTCCCACATAAACTGGATGGCTTCTTTGCTTCAGACTTCAGCTTGGATGCAAGAAGGAACCTTCTGAACCATTCCTCCTTCTCCCTACCTGTCCTTCCAAAGAGATAAAGCACTTGATCCTTTTGGCTAGTGTACTTTGCTCCATCCTGAGGTTTCTTGGATTCTTCGTTGTTCAAGTCCACTTTTTCAGCAGATAACTTTTCGTCTGTATTCTCTTTATCAGTCTGGGCCTTAGCCATAAAGTCATCCTGTCTAGCAAGTTCAATGCAAATAGGGTACTTCTTATTCCAAATCCGTTTCCGTGCCAGACTCTTAGGAACTAGGGAAATCTGAAGGATAAATTAAAGGGTTAATTTAACTTATTTTTCAGTTGTATCTTCTATGTTTCTGTAGTCACATAAAGAATATACAAACATGAGAGACACAGACCCTACATTGGATCTGCTGGGTTTAACTCTTAATGTATAGCTGGTTGTTGTCCAATCCACTGCTGTCACTAGGTCTTTGGTGAGCCATAGCCTTGGAATTAAAACAAGGACCATTCAAGTAGCTTAGACTTCTACAATCATGTGGAGAAACTCAGTTTTCATTTAAAAGATCATATTCTCATAGTTATGCAGAAAAACCAGAAAAAACCAAGAACCTTATTTCTGTGACCACGGGGTAGGTAATGAGAACCTAAACTGAGTTTTAAAACTCAACTTTTCAGGCCCACCTCATGAAATTGAGTGTTTGAAGTTGGCAATAGTCACATCCAGTATGTAAGAATCAAGGAACAAAAGTGATTTTATTCCTTTATTTATAAATCATATTCTAAATTCAGTATATTCAGAGAGAATTGAGACAATGCAAGTGATGAGAAGAATAATAAGAGTTAAAAATTCTAATAAGCGTAATAAGAGTTAAAAATTCTAATCTAGGGGCTGAATTTACCCACATTCTCCAAAAACTGAGGGTAAATACCTTGGAAAATAGCCATAATTTGCTTATTATATTCAGAGCACCCAACACTTTTGCAACCAATTGGGGGTGGGGGGAGGGGGAAATACTGGAAATTTTTCTAAGATACCATGGAGAACAACTGTCAGTCAAGTGCTCTCGTAGCATGTGATAGCTTTGCTTGTCTTCATTATGGGAAAACAAATCTGCAATAGGCAGGAATCTAAGTTTTTGCTTTATCTTTTTCACCATCTTCCTTTAACAGAAAACAGCTGACAGCAAGCTCCTTTCCCATACTGCTTCAGGGAAACGAAGGGAGGTTTTCTTCACTATCGCCTTGGTCCCTCTCTCCCTCTAACTCCCACAGTCAATTGAAGCATAGTTTCCTCCTACATCTGTACTGCCAAGGCCCTCTATTGATGCAGCACATTAAAAAAATCCATTCTTTTAATAATGGGGTATTGATGTATTACTTAATACAATGCCAATGGAATCAACTTCACATGGCAACTCTTCACAGATTTGAGGGAGGCAAATAACAGGTAGGAAAACTGTCCCAGCATTATTCTTGATGCACTCTTCCAACTGCAAAAATCCCAATCTCCTTCCCCAGACAGTGGGTACCAATAGCAAGTTGTGTCTGTTCCAGCCACCTCTCGCTCTCCTCTTTTACATCCATATACAATGTACATTCCCCCTTCAAGTGAAATGCAAATGTTGTCCAAACTGCCTTGGGATAGAGACAACCACCAGATTATGCATTTTGATATAAACTTCAGAACAGTCACGCAATAATCTAATGTATGGGGAACAATTCTCTAAACTCCCATGTGTTAAATTCTGCTTTGAACTGAGAGAGGAAAAGTATGCTTTTCCTTTACTGTGTAAACACGTAATTTTTTTCTAAATCCTGCTCAATCTTCCTCCCCAGCACAATCTTTTGCAACTTAGTCACGACAACAGTCTTGTTTACATAATGACAGCACATGAAACTAGAGGAGTGAAAAAAAATTTCAAAATTTCAAAAAAAAGTTTCAAAGTATTCTTTGTTAAAATCAGATATAAGTACAGCACACTCACCTTGCTCTCTGTAAGTTCATAAATTTTCTGGCTGACATATGTGACTTCAGGCTTTGGCTCATTGTACACAGCCCTTCTAGAAATATTTTTATTGGGTTTTGAAAGTCTTAAGGTGCTTCCTTCGAGTCGCACATAGACAGAGTGAGTCAATGTAGCATGGTATGTTTCTGGATCATAATTATAAATTTCATTCATCCATCCCTAGAGAGGAAAACACTTGTTAACACGTTTTTAACCTGCTGGAAAACCAAGTACAGAATGTACATCAAAGTTTTAAATAATTATCCAAGCTTTTGCCAAAGTTAAAGTCACTTACAGTACTAATACAACAAAGCAGTGAACGCCCCAAATAAGGTAGCACCAAACTGACAGAGCATGAGATGAGGACTGGAGCCCAAGCACACAATTTGTTTTTCTGAGTAAATAATTTTGTATACATAGTGCAGTGCTCTTCCACCTCATCTTCATGAAACGCTGCGAGATCTGCAGACGCAGGCTTGCTGGGAAGAGCCACAAGGCAGCCAGTAAGGGCATGCTGCAGAGCAGCCCGTCTGCTTACAGCAAGCACGGACATTTTAATCACCAACAGTCAAGGCAGAGCAAACAGTCTGTCTGCTTATAGACAGCACTGACATTTTAATCACCAACAATTAAGGACTGAGGGGAAGACCACAATGGAGTTTGTTTTAACACAGCATCACTGTTTAACATAATTTAACATGTTGTGTAACTGCCTGGTTACAACACAGGAGTCATACATGTGGGGATTAAATCTCATTTATTTCCGTGCAGTGAAAGAAACGGAAAACAAACAAACCAGCCCTGCTGTAACAAGCCCGTAAGTGCTGACTCTAACCATGGGGGTGATGTTACTCCTCTAACACCTGCTTACAGAAAATGAAAGATGATAAATGGGGCAGGAGACAAGCCAGAATACTCATTCAAGGAAGACAAGTTTTCCTTCCCTTAACCAGCCCTACAACATACTTTGATCATTACTTCTACCTGCACATCAAAACCTTAATTCGGCATATTCAGTATTCGTTATTGTCAATGGAAAGCAAAGTAGATGGACTCTAAACAGATGTACCCTAGAGCATAACATAAAATGGCATCTTTATAAATACCTAGGTGAGTATAGTAGGGGGGAGAGCATCTGCTGCTGGGGAGCGGAGAGAGCTGCACAAGCATCCCTAGTATTCTTCAAAACAAAAAAGTCGTAACTACCTTATGCAGAACATCCCAGAAATTACTGCTACATTTTAACTTATTAAAGAAGTTTCCACCCACACATAGAAATGTAAAATTTATTTTAATGCTCATTTACTTCAGTGCCATATAATTTCTCAAAGTAGACAGCATACACTTTCTTAGGTGCCATAGTAACAGTGATATCTATGTTTTGCTTACTCTAACATCTAGCTCCATTTTCACTATAAACCCTGAAAAACCTAGAAAAATTAGCATTTCTTTTATGTTCAGGAAAGATTAAGTCATTCATCTTTGCTCAGCTCCAAAGCAGACTGCCTCTTTTATTAACAGAAATACCTATACCAACACATACTCTTTGAAGAAGCTTTGTGTTTGGATTTTTTCTTACACTGGGTTATATACAACTACCATATAGGAAATACAATGCATGAGAAAGAGTCTTCTGTAAACCATCAAGGTTCTGCACAGCAGGGTTGATGTATGTTTGAGCACATCCCATTTCCTTCCTAGAAATTATTAAGCCAAGACATCTTTGAGCAGACAGCAATTAATTTTCAGCCAGGAACTCCAGCTGGACTTACAGAAGCACAAGGACATCACATGAGTTGCCTAAAGCCACCATAAGCCATTCATTCTGTGCAGAACTGGAATATCCATCTGGCGCACAGATTTCTGGAGAGACTCCCACCTGCCCCCCGGATCAGATCTCCGAGCTATTTCCAGCTCGGACACCGAAGTCTGGAGCCTGCAGCCAGGCAAACGTACAGACAAAAATTTGCTGCCTCAAAAGTTGATTGCCTTCTCCTGCAAGGCGGTTC